TATTTAATGGACACAGCAAAGGGCTGTTTCCAAAACGTTAAACTATACTCCTTTAAACGACAACAATCTCCAACACTTATATATATATATATGCAAAGGCCAACTGTGTTCAGTGACTTCATATCTCTTCTCCACTTGTGCTACGTTGCAGCTGGGTTTAGCGTTTAGCATTATCCATAACTGTCAGTTGTGACCACTGGTTAGTTATAGAGTTACAATGCTAAACATCTTGCACCCATATTTCTCATATTCTGTGAAGGCCTCTGGAGTCATTCCTTTCGAATTGTAACACCATCGCATCTGTTTCAAGTTATCTCGGATGTACAGTTCAGTTTAAGTGGAAACAGTTTGGAGAAACAGTCCTGTCACAGGGTTGATCCCACAGCAGCCAAGAAACCGCCAGCCTCCTGGGTAAGAAAGGAAACCACCCCTTCAGTTACAAGAACCCACTGTGAAATGTAAACTTAATGTAAAAGATGTGGTATTGTGGTATCTTATCACACGAATACTCCCACGTGGATGCCATCTGCTGTATGTGCCGGTTCCCTTCAGACAGACAAATTGTTTTTTTTCCATCCAGAGATGGAGCTGAACTCTCTCCAGAGATGAGAGGTAATTTTTAACACAAAGCACTAAGGTGACACCATCTGGGACAGTGTTGCTATTGCATGATGTGCTCAGCCCCAATTTAATTTTGCCACCTACTGTCGGCGTACTGTACATGTGGAAACACACAACCACACACAGTGAGAAGTCTCAGGAGGGCAGACTGTATTTCTAGCACCTCCATGCCTCCCTTGCACATAATTCTAAACTAGCAAGGATGATGTGAATTATTATTATTTGACTTTTCGTTTTCCTAATAACATAATTAATGAAATTAAGGTGAACTGGACAGGGATAAATGACAGAATTTCAGTTCATTTAAGTTAAATAAGTATTTTTAAGTTGACACATGCCCATTATTGAAAAGATGGACTTCCTAGCTAATGTAACTAGCATTAGTGAGTTTCATTTTCATACAGTCCCTTGCAGTCACTGAGAATGTTTCATATGCCCACATTTCCCACATTTTAAAGTGTTTTAAAGTCCTGTTCTGCAACAGTTTGCTCCGACAGATGACGGGTGTGAAACCATCTGTGATACCACTGCAGAGGGAGATCATGTTACTGTAAATCTGGCCTGTAGCCACCACTACAGGATGTGGTGGCTACAAATCTTTTAATACACATTGTTAAGATTATTATACTGTGCTGTGCAATTATACCTATATACAGAAATTATACTCACACTGTACAATTATTTTTCCTGTGCAGTTATTTTTATTTACACCACGCACCTCCTGCTGTAATCCTCCATCTTTTAAGGCAATATTTTTTTGTATAATGTTACACACCATGTAATTTGTACAATTATCCCTGTGTTCCTTCAAACATACACAATATACTTGTATATATTTAATATATAAAAGGCGTACATTGATTTTCTATCTTCTCCTTTTCTATCTTTATTTTATGTATTTTCTTATCTATCGCTGTCTTTGTGTTGTATGTGGAGCTGCTGTAACAAGCAAATTTGTGGGATCCATAAAGCAAAATTTTATCTTTATATCATGATAATTTAAAAGAGAATTCATCTGAAAACGTTTGACAAACCCCTGGTAGAGTCTGGTAGATAACTATAATAATAAAAGTAATATGGATGGGAGCTCATCAACAAACATTTTGGTTGATTAAAGTTGTATATAAGCAATAAATACAGTTGAATAATAAATTAATTGAGTGGTTATTTCATTAAGAATGTGCAAAATAATAATAATCCAAAAATGACTTTTGTTAGCAGGAGGTTAGCATGCTATGCCCACATGCTTGCTAATTTAACTCTACAGATATATTGTGCCAGCATTGAATAAATAGAGCTGCAGAAACTAGAATATGCTTGGCCAGAGTGTGCAGCCGACTCCTGTAGAATGTGCAAACACTCTGACAGTTAGCCAGAAACCAGCCAGATAGGATTAAACACAGCAAACAATTCAAAGTCATCTCATCTTAGTGCCGTAAGAAGGTCAAAGACATCCAAAGCTCGTCACCAACTCCACCCTCAACAAACTGTATTTCTGTGCTTATAGCTTCAGGAGACAACAGCCTTTAATGTCAAGGTTAGAAAGTTTGCTGGAGCTTCCCAGGCATAAAATGGACATTAAATGGTTTCAGGTAACATTGGTGTGTATTTGTTATTTCTCTGAGGTGTAATTGTTGGTAATTCCCATCAGTTTTAAATCAAATTTAAGTCATTTTAACTATAAGAGACTTCAAAAACACATTTATCCGTTTATTGTTCGTCTCCTGGTTCTACTTAATTACCTGTTCAGCCTGTTCAGATTCAGTAGAGCAGCAAACTCCTGAAACATAGTGTGAACAACAAAATATGTCTATATATGTTCTCCTGCTGCAAACAATAATAATACCCCCATCAGATCTTGTTTTTTTACAACTAGATATGAGAGGTGTACAGTACCTTAATTTATTGATATCATATCATCTTTCTGCATCCTGGAATGAACGTTTCATTAAAACAGTGGAATGAGGGTCTATACCTCAGGTCACTTAATAGCTGAAATGTTTAGATATGTTAAATATAAAATTATGTATAAAATGATGTTCCTATTCTATCTATTCTTTTCCTCTGAAGTGTCATTTTTGGTAATTCTCAACAGGAAGGTTTTATTAGTCATTTGTAATTCAATTTGAGTATTTTCTATTAAGCTATAAATTTGTCAAACATCCCAGAATAGCGAGGATTGTTTGGGAACGACTTCAAAAACACGTTCTTCCAATAAAGGTTTTATTTTCTGATTTAATTAATCCTTGTTCAGCCTGTTCAGAGTCAGTAGAGTGGCATGGTTGAGTGAGTTGAAATACTGGAAAGGATAAAGCAGTTTTCTACACTAGAATTTAAAATAGAAAATACTGGACAAATAAATTAAATAAAAAATTAAGTGGGAATTTTCTTTTAAAATGTTTAACAAAATAGGACTTTAAGGACTCAGTTAATGACAGTTTATGAGATTTTGTGCCCTGATCAATACATACATACATATGCATATTTTTACAAACCGATTATATGTTTTGAATATACAGTTTTATTCCACAAAATAATCTCTGGTGTCAAATTAATATAATGAAGAGAGAAAAAAAAACAATATGTCTCTCTGAATCCAGTGGACCAGAACTATAAAGTAGCAAAAACTGGAAAAACAAGTATAAGTAACAGCGTGCAATGAATAAATGAAGGCTGCATGTGGTTTTATTTCTCATTATTTTTTAAAGTAAAGACATTTTACATGCTTTTGGTTTTACAGAGTGTCGAAAAGAATAGATGTGATGTTTGAACTCCCTGATGAAGGCAACAAAGCACAGTTTCCTACCAATAAATGTACATTTATGAACATGGAATTTGGCAAGTAAAATAATAACATTAATCATATCAACACAAGTGTTCCTCCGTACACCATCTTCCAGGAGATAAATATTATATTATATAATATTATATATATATATATATATATATATATATATCTGTCAC